CTCTCCCCATCTTCACTGCACAGAGACTCTCCCCATCTTCACTGCACAGAGACTCTGCCCATCTGGGAGGCCCTTTTAAAACCCAATCATTTTACTGACCTGTTGTCAATTAAACTAATTAGTTGTGAGATATTCAGCCATGTCTTTTGTTTTATTATGACACAACTTTTCCAGTCTTTTGTTGCCCTTGCTGGCATCAAATTCAAAGTGACTGTTCATTTGTCATAAAACAATTACATTTTCAATTTGAACATTTGATATGCTGTCTTTGTTCTATTTTCAATTAAATATGAGTTTATAAGACTTGCAAATCATTGCATTCTGTTTTTATTTGCATTTGATTTCTTTGGAAACGGGGTTGTAATAATGATTCTGAAAACCAGTGGAACATAATTGATTAAGCCAGCTGTGTTGTTTTTACTCTACTCAGCATCGGTTCCTCAGTATCTTATCACTTAGCAAGATCTGACGGATAAGTATCACATTGTTGGCCTAGTCCTACTACAGTCCACATAGCCACCACAATCTAAAAAAATGCATGCAAACAATCTATAAATTATAGTGAGTCTTCTTACTTCATTACCAAAGTTGGGTAATTCAGGTCCAGAGAGTAAAAGTCCAGACCAGGATTTTGTTTCAACCACCCAGTTGAGTACTCTGTGACTGTGAGTCTTTATGCACAACTGGTTGGTTGAAACAAAATCTTGGTCTGGATTTGTACTCTCTGGACCTGAATTACCCAACTCTGTTCATTGCCAATATAATGACTAGAATCTAGGAGGATCTACACTACTGCTTATACTTGGGTTTAATTCTCTTTTATGGGATTTTTGGTAAAGGATCAGGGAGGGACCAAACATCTAAGCATGAAGGGCAAGTTACAAAAACTAAAAAAAGAGTTTAAAAATATGAAGCATTCTAAGATATTTCTGCTTCACATAAATTATATTTTTGTGTGTTTAAAACGCTCAGCACCACTGAACTATGGGGGAAAGTCACAAACTTCTTCAAAGGGGAAACCTAAAGAGTAAACATTTTAATCAATGTGACCGATGAGCTCCACAGCTTATACTGGTATCTTTGCCTCCATTTGCCATTTTAACATCCATAAATCTTTATTATCGGCCTTTTTATAAACTTTTATCCATCCTTCTGCACTGGGGCCTGTATCATGAAGTGAGATTTGTTGTTTAGCTGCATAATGTATTGGATTTAAGGTACCCCAGTTTGGACTTTATCTTTGTTCACTAACATTTAGCCCAGACTACCTTAAATCTGAGAGCTTATTTTGCTATCACACATACCCTGCATCATAAAACAGGGCCCTGATATATAGAAACTTGTTTTCCTTTTTTTCTCATGATAAACAACACAAAACACATCACATATTCCAAGAAAGAGTTTCTTGTAAACCATAAAAAAATCATTATAATGACGATGAGATGACACGTTTTGAAAATTATCAGCATGAATGTTTTTAATACACAGCTCCACATTTTAAAGCAATGCCCTGTCAGTATGCTGCATACAAAACATACCATTAAAATAATGTATCTGAAAAGGCACTTTATTCGGTGATAAAAGGAAATAGAAAGAAATAATGTTTTGCATAGCAAAAATAACACAACTGAAAATAATTCTGCTTTATCCTTTTCTTTTCTCTTTTTGTACGGCTTTTAATTTTTTTTTTGTAAATATAAAATGATTGCATACATTTGAAAAAATGTCTTTGATAAAATAACATATCTAGTTGTTTTTAATTCTCCACTCCTCCAAATTAGAAATATAAAGTTCGTGTTTTCCTTGCGCTGGGACTTTCCAGCAGTAGTTCATGGAAACGGGATTCCAAACATTGCGTTCTTGCGAGGGCAGTCAGTGGGAGTGAGGCGTCGCTCCCGTCCCCCGCCGCTGGACCTGAGGTGGCAGTGAGGAAATGGGCTGTGCTACCTGCCCCTCAGGCTGCTGAGAGCGTCGCACACGTCATCCTCCACACTCAGGGCCTCGAAGACCGGGATCAGGTCCAGGAGCTCCGTGTCTGTCATGTCATCGAACCACGACTGAACCGCGACCTGAAGCAGCACAACAGTACTGTATGGTCAGCACAGTGACATGGTGCGTGGGGATTCATTTAACGCCTTACTGACCACATGTGTGAGATGTGCCCTGACAGAGCCCGTTTAAATACCCAGTCTGTGACAACCGCTTTTCACGTGTTATTAAGTCAGGTGTAAAGCTGGAAAATCATGGAATTTTTTATCTACGTTTTCAATCATTTCTCTACCATGAATAAAAAATGAGTCTCCCTGGACTCATCAGCAATTTATTATTATTGTAATTATTTAAACGTGAAATAGAAGGATACAATGAAAATGTTACAGTAACTCCGTCTTGACTATGAGAGGGGGGGGTGTGCCAACATCGGAAAGCCACCCCCCACCCTCTTGACACCCCCGGCTGAAGCTGCGATTTGGCCTGCTTTTGATTAAGCTGCATAGGTGCCGTCGCACGACTGTCTGACATGTCGCTGCCTAAATAAAGGATGAGAGATGGGAAGCTGACAACCTCAAAGTCTCTCGCAGAAAAGATGATAATCCATTGGACCTCCTTATTGCGCTAATAGGATCTGTAGATGTTATCTGCTACTCTAGCAACATGAAACAGCAAAATCATGCAGACCTCTTCGGGGTTTGTTTTCACAACACACTACTTCGAAAGGTTTGTTACTGCCAAACTGGCAATGCAAACGCTTTAAAAGGTCAGACTCAGCAATCCAACTCTTTAATCCCAATAATAATCTGTATTAATAATTCTTAAAATGCGACACCTTAGCCCAGGTTGCAAAAGCAGCCGAATAATTGTTTACGTTTGTATAATATGGTGTTTACTTTTAGTGAAATGATATTCAGTTTGTTTTGGTTCCGTTTAAAATTAAGGCTTTGTGTGCCCTGGGGGAAAGGAAGAAAAAGCACTGAATTCCGGCTCACTGTGCACATATTTTGCATTTAAACCATAATTATTTTAGCTAGAGAACATTTTCAATTGGATTAAGTGCAATAGGGTGACAGTTAATTGCCAAAACTAAGTGCCCAGTTTGCTAGTGATTTTCCTAAAACGTCGCGGCTAAAGATTGCATGCTGTATGTAAGCAGATAAGGTAGTACTTTCTAAAGAGTCCTATAACCCAATGAAGACATAACTTCCATTTACGGGCGTTTATTTAGGCCTATGTTAGAGAGATTAGGCTATCTGATGCATCATTTTTCTTCAAAAAGTATTCTCTATGCACAAGTGTAAGCCTATGGAAATAGAAGAAAACATTCTAAGGACAAACAAATTGGGGGTGGGGGGAGTTAGGACAAATACACAGGACTTACTGCATTTTCAGGGTGGAAGATGTAGGAAGCCGGTGAGTTGTCTACTATGATGACTCTCCTGAGTTCCCTTCCTAGGCGACTGAGGTCCTTCACATAGTTGCCGCGGTGAAAGACGCAGGATTCTCGGAACAGCCGAGCCTGGAACACGCCCCACTTATCCAACAAGTCTGCTACTGGATCTGCGTACTGAATCAGAGCGTGACAGGATGACCTGGGTTACAGGCAATGAAATCTGACCAAAACTGCACCTCCAGAAAAAAATACTACTATGATAAACAACTACAGTTGTACTCTTTTTATCTACAGTTACATTCGTAACCACTATTGCAGAGATGAGAAACATTATTACCCTGTTGTAAAGGCTTCACAGATCAGGTTCCAGCTGTCAATGACCGCAGTGTGTGGGAACTCTGGTTTCTTTACACAGCCCAAACACATACAGTTGGGCAAATCAAATCTCAGAATAGCTCATAAAGTTGGAGTGTGTGTGCGCCCGGTGATGGACTGGCATCCCACCCTAGATAAGCTGCCCGCCTGTGCCCTGTGCCGCCAGGGATCTGCTCCAGGACACTCATGACCCTGTGCCCTACACAGATAAGCATTCATGGAAGATCGGTGGCTTTATCATAGTCAGTGACAAAACACTCACAGGAAATTGGATAGCGTCCCTCTAACTTGTGAGTGGGAGTTTATTTAGACTTCTGTGGATAGGGGCAGGTCCTGAATTTAGGGTTATGGAGACCGGGTGTCCTCAGACTTGGGCAACAGGTGAGTGGTCACCCCCATCACAAAGATACAGAAAAAGAAAACTGGGGAGAATACGAAACCAAACAGGAAGGTTAGAGTTTCAGTGCTGTGACAAAGTAGGTCGCTAATTCCTCTTTTTACTTCTCCATGACACTTGATTGTGTGTGATTGCCAAACAAATTTAACATAATACAAAGGACAACCAGCACAACATACAGAATTTAACTGACCATTTGACTTATTGAAGCAAAGTATTTCACCATCACCTAAAATTAATATTTGGTTGTGTATTTAGCAGCAATAACTGCAATCAAACGCTTGCAGTAAGAGCAGATCAGTCTTTGGCTTTACTGTGGGGAAATTCTGGCCCACTCTTCTCTACAGAATTGCTGTAATTCAGCTACACTGGAGGGTTTTTGACTGCCCATTGTAGGTTCCGCATCAACATCTCAACGGGATTGAATTCAGCGCTTTGTCTAGGCCCCTCCAAAACCTTAATTTGTTTTTTTTTCGGGCATTCAGAGGTGAACTTGCACATGTTCAGATCGTTGTCCTGCTGCATAACCCAAGTTGTGCTTGAGCTGCAGATTACAGACTGATATCTGGACTTTCTCCTTCAGTACTTCCTGGTAGGCAGCTGAAATGCCCAGATCCCGAAGCAGCAAAGCATCCCCACACCATCACACCATGTCTGGCTGTGGGCATGATGTTCTTTGTGTGGAAAGCTGTGTTAGCTTTATGCCAGATGTAGCAGGACCCATGGCTTCCAAATAATTCCACTTTTGATTCATCAGTCCAAGGAACATTCAAAACAACGTGTGTGGCTCAGTAGACTAAACCTCTGTGCCTGTGATCAGAAGGTTGCTGGGTTGAGCCCCAGCCTCATGATGCCTGTGGGTCCTTGAGCAAGACCCTTAACTCTTATCTCCCTGGGTGCTGCTACGGGTGGCTGCCCTTTGCAGCCAACTTGCTCTCATATACAGATAGCAGGTTGGGTGAGGCATAAAGAGAATTTCACTATGGGGATCAATAAAGGATGAACTATTATTCCCCCAAAAGTGTTTAGAGTAATAAAAGGTTTTTTGGCAAGTGTTAGAGGAGCCTTCATGTTTTGCAGTGGCTTCTGCCTTGCAGTTCTCCCATGGACGGCATTGTTCCCCCTGCATCATTCTAACCATGGAATCATTAACTGACATGAGAGAGGCCTGCAGTTCCTTAGATGTTCATCTGGGGTCTGCTGTAGCTTCCCTGATGAGTTTTATATGCACTCTTGTAGAAATTCTGCGAGGCCGGCTACTCCTGAGCAGATTTGCCCCGTTGCAAGTTTTTCTGTTTGGAGTCGATGGCTCTCATGGTACTGTGTTGGAGCCTAAGGGTCTTGGAGAGTACTTTCCCTTTTCTGACTGATATATTTCACTACAATTCTTTCTCAGGTCTTCGGTAGGTTCTTCTGACTGAGGCATGGTGTGCTGCTTCTTGAGACCCCTTACCAGACTCTACATTGCTAGAATGAGTTTATTTAAGTCATGCGTACATTCAACAGGGCAGGCAGCAATCATGCTTGGGTGTGTCTCCTTTAATTTAGCCCATTATAATTTAAATTTGAGTCATTGGTTGATTTAGTCACTGAGGTGGTAAGTTGTCACATGGATGATATGGGAGTTGGTGAATTTTTTTTTCCTTCAAAAAATGAAAAGGCTACTTAAAAATCGTGTTGTGTTTACTCCTTTTTTGTCCTTTGTATTATACTAATTTTGTTTGGAGACGAGACACAGTAGAGGGAATAAGGAATCAGAAATACTTTTGCATGGCATTCTACCTGGATGCCATTCTGGGGTGGGTATTTGGGCATGTTCTGTGAGCTCAAGTGTTCGAATTGTCAGAGGGATTGGGGAGTTCCCTGGTGGGCATTTGTTGACCTGGGGGTGCAGGGCTGACACTGATGGTACCAGTTGTCAACATGTTGGGATGTTTAAAAAATACTAAATCTTAAGGTTCTTTTCCCATAAACATGAGTTCTATGCCATTATGACGTTACCATGGCCATGCATCATCTGTGAGTATGTGACCCAGCCGACTGGGACGCACCTTGGCTAGGCTGGCCGTGAAGAGCACGCACTCGAAGAGCTCACCCATCTTCTGCAGGAACTGGTCCACGTGTGGCCGCTTCAGCACGTAGACCTGCAACGGGAGAAAGGCTGGAAATGCTGGAGGATGCTGTCAGGTGATGGGGTGCAGCCTAGCCAAGGTCAGGTCAGTATTCTGTAATAACTGTAAGAGGTCAGGATGAGGTGCAGCTTAGCCAAGGTCAGGTCAGTATTCTGTAATAACTGTAAGAGGTCAGGATGGGGTGCAGCCTAGCCAAGGTCAGGTCAGTATTCTGTAATGACTGTAAGAGGTCAGGATGAGGTGCAGCCTAGCCAAGGTCAGGTCAGTATTCTGTAATGACTGTAAGAGGTCAGGATGAGGTGCAGCCTAGCCAAG